GAACGATTTGAGTGTCTTCTTGATGTTTCGTATGTCTAGAACTATATGGTAGGATTTCATGTAGGTTTTGGTGTCTTGAATCGTGCTAAGTGTTCAACATTGTGTTTCGTTGAACCGTGATGAGTCTTGTGTGTTCTTCAGAACTACGTTTTGTTTACCCGTTTGATAAGCATGCTAGTTCGGTGTTCAAATGCTAGCATGTGTGTTGTTTGTACCTTCCGATGGGTTGATGATAACTTGTGTTATTGATCGTTGTTGTTGGACCGTGATCCATTCCTTGATTGAATATGGTTTCACATCTTCGTTGTGATCCGTTGATTGATTCCTGTTGTGGTGTGGTGTGTGTGGCTTTACATGGATTGCACGATTAGTAGTATGGGACACTAGTCACCAAGGTATTGCAGTGGTCCTCTGGGTGGCCATGACGCGATTATGGAGTTTGTGACCTTTGTGTAAGGTTCACGTGTTTCTTGGGTGGCATGTGTTGTCGTGTGTGTGATCGGTACCCTCGTGTACTATGAATCGGTGGTCTCGTTGGTGGTCGTTGGTGGGGGACGACGGTCCCAGTAGGGAAAAGGGTGGACTTGGTTGTACAGGGGTCCTGGAGGTAATGGTTGGAAGAAGAAATAAGGTTGGGGATAGCCATAAGGTTGGAATCGGACATAAGGAAGGCATATCAACTCGTGATGGGTGATGTCACGAGGGCTTGTGTAGCCGTTTATGTGAATTCTCTTCTTGTGACGTGTGTAGTCACAAAGGCATGTGTTCCCATGTGTTGTGTCTCTATTCCTTTGAGTTATGCATGTCGGGTGTTGATGTATTGTGTAATGATAGATCATACCTTGAGACTTCTTGTGAGTCGTTGTTGTTCTTTGTAGTCTTGGGATGTGTTCCCGTGTTCTTGTTGAGAGTGTTGAGTCTTGTGTTGACTATTACTCTTTGTTTTGGACTTATGTATATGTGTATTCCGTTTCGAAAATGGCTTTACAACTTATACCTTATCTATGTATGATATTTCACATGTATTGGTGGGTTACCAGCATTATTCGCTGACCGGGCGTTGTCCCATGTTTATTGTGTTCTTTCAGGTGATGTTTAGACGAGTGCGCGGTCTAGTGCAGCTAGTATAGCATCTTCTTTATGTTTTGTGACCAGTGAGCCAGCTTAGACTTAGTACGTTGAGATATTGGTTTAGATTTCAACATTGCAGATGTTTGCCTGAGCGTTCTCCCTTTGTGAGCGTGGCATAGCACCCTGTATCCCAGTTTATTTATATATAACTTTCATTCAGTCTTTCGCTGTGTCGGTTGTTTGGTTTAGATATCTGCATGTTTAAGGCTTTAAATAACATGTATTTTAGGGGGTGTTACACTTTTCCTAGACTAATTTTCCCCACTAGGTTTTTTTTAATGAGATATTTAACGAAGCATGAGTATGATATAGTAATGACAATGGGGAAAGTTGCAAAATAATTACTTAAATGGACAAACTCCAAAATCCTGAAGATTATACAGATTGTGCCCTGAAGGCTTATGGTTAGTTGTACTTGATAAGTGCTAATTCTTAGTGCTTTTATGTGCATAATTGATATCAAACTCATATGATTTCATGTTAATTGGAAGCTAAGTATGTGCCTATTTGATTCCTTTGTGTCATTTAGGTTATTTGGAGGCATTGGTTGTAACTTCATGTAAATTGGAGCTCAATTGGTTGTGTTTTGAAGTCATCTTGACAGAAAGGCAAGTTCCGGGAGTCATTAGAGGTCTAGAAAATGAAATAAAGCGAGTTGAAGTATCATGACATGACCCGAAGATCCAAAGGAACAAAGGAGATGAAGAAATATGCATTTTTGAAGTGAAAAACATGGGTCTCGCTGGTGGTCACGCCGTGATTGCCAGTGTGACACCATTATGCATTGTACTATTTTTTCTGTTAGGCGAAGTCTCGGTAATTTGAGCATATCTCAAATTACGAGTGTCCAAATAACGTGATTCAAGTAGCATTAGAAAGGAAACTCAGAGAGCTACAACTTTCATGAAAACCACAAAGGCTAGTTCAGAAGTTTACAATGTGAAAAATGGTCTAGAAACCAGAGATATTGTACAGAGATGCTGGTCACGGTGGCGGTTACGGTGTGATGTTGACCGTCACCAGTAGACACCTGCGACGCTTATGCCTAAGCATGATGAAGGTCACGCCGTGACCTCCATCGTGACCAGACATTCTGGAAGCAGTTAAAAGGACGCAAATCCAAAAGTATCAAGTATCTTTAGAGGGAGATTAACGTATGTAATTGTAACTTTCAGTTTCAGTTTCAGATTTACATTCTACAAGTTCTATCAAGTTAAGTTCTCAATTTCTTACTTTTATATTTCACATAATTTGTAGTTTGAATTTATTGTTCATTACTTTAATTTCTTTTAGTTTATCAATTTCATTATGAGTAGTTAAATTAGTTAGGGATTTAGATTGAATTGCTTTGTATGAATGTCAACATGAATTAAATTGGAAAACCTAGGGCTTGCAATATCTTTAGATTGAATTTGATTGTGAATTTGGTAAAATGTTTTGACTCTTGCTTAGTTAGGGCCTAACTTTATAAGGGGATTTTGGATTTGGTGCTTCACCTATGAGAATAGGGATTCACCATAGCCAAACTAATCACAATTCTAACTCACTCTTGAGAAAGGGGAGTTGGAAGGGATAGAGCACACAAGGTATTTGATTAATTGCATCATCTAATCTATTTTCCATGAGAATGAAATTAGAACTTAGGTGATAGCCCAATGACCATGAGAATGGCATTGGCACTTGCTAAACGCCTTCACTTTCATTATTGATCTTTGTTTTCCTTAGAATTTAGAACACTAAGAAGCATTTGTACATTGCTATTTAATCTAAGTCCTCTCTTATCCTTGTCCACTACTTAATCATTTAGTTGTTTTAAAATTGTCTATATGCAAACGAATATTCAATTTAGATTAGCTTTCAAACACTTAATAATCTTGTGTTTAACCCCTCTCTACTCAATTCCCAAATGGCTATTCCTAGAGAACGACACTCACTAAACATCGCCACTAAAACCAACTTTCAAATGGTGCCGTTGCCGGGGAATAAGGCATCGGTCTTGAGTAATGAGTCCATTTGGGTTAACATGATAAATCATTAAAGTTAGAGAGTCTAGCTACCCTTATTTGCTTGTTGTTTTTGCAAGTTACTTTGTTTATCTCCGTTTTATCTTTTAAGTTGTTAATCTGTTACCACTCTCACTTGCAACTACTTTTAGTTGCGAAGAACACTTGTTGTTTCTGTGCTTGCAGGTGAATAGCCACTTATATGCAAACCCGTTCTAAAGGGGTACAAGGCTTGCTAGCAATTGACCACGAAATTAACGCGATAGTGCGAAGAAGGAATAGGGCAGCCCAAAACGAAGAACAGTTACAAGAAAATATGGCCTCACCAAGTGGTTCCCGTGACCATCTAGGAGGGGTTACAACTGAGACGTTGAGAAGTGCAGGCCTGGGCGAACCTCAGAATCGGACGCCACTGCGAGATGGGGAAGGAAAAGACGAACTTCCTCAACCGGTAGAAAGGAATCAACAAGAAAGGCCACCACCCAATCTTGGGCAATATCAAGAGAGGGATCCCGATTATGAGCAACCAGATGAAAGACCTGAGTATTATTAGAGGGAAGAATAATTTGAGCCAAGAAGGAGAATTGCGCCAAGAGAGAACTACTTTGAGCTGAGGGATCGAGAGATACCGAGGGATGAGTACTATGAGCCAAGGAGGAGGAATGTACAAAGGGAAAATTAGCGCGGGTTTAGAAGAGAAGAAAGGAAAACCATAGTAGACTTCATGACCCCGGAGTTTAGCATGCAAAACTCTATATACATTCCACCGGTTGAAACAAACAACTTCGATATCAAGCCTTCGGTTATCACGCTTGTCCAGAATGCTCCATTCAGTGGTCTACCTTCTGAGGATCGACATGGCCACATCACCGGGTTTGTAAAGTCCTGTGGGATGTGTAGACAGAATGGGGTACCTGAAGAGGTAGTTCGGCTCAAGTTGTTTCTATTCTCAGTCATTGGAGATGCTGCTCGTTGGTTGGATTCCCATTCCAACAATCATTTCAGGTCATGGGAACAACTGCATAGGAAATTTATGCAAGAGTTCTTTCCATTAACAAAGACATTGAAAATCAGAAAACAAGTTCAGGATTTCAAGCAGGGTTCTATGGAATCGTTGGGGGAAGCCTTGATGAGATTTAAGGCGCTGAAACGACAATGCCCACCAGATGTGTTTCATCCTTGGGACGTCATCAGTTGTTTTTACGGGGGATTAACTGACGAAAATAAGATGTTGTTGGATTCCTCATCAAAGGGGGCATTTGTATCCTCATTACCAGAAGATGCTGAAGAATTGATTGAGACCGTTTCAGCCAACACATCTTGTTGGTATAACAAAAGGGATTCTAAGTCCGGATTATATGAGGTGAGTAACAGTACAGCTTCTGATGCCAGAGTTGAAGCAATGGGGCATGAAATTCGAAGGATTCAAGCAAGGATTGACAAGATGGGTAAGTAACCGCAAGAGGGGAATCCGTGTATGTCACTAGCTCTATACTGTGACATATGTGGTGGACCACATGGTACCCAAGAGTGCACTTCTACATATGATGATCCCGGTTGTGAACAAGTAGGTGCTGTGGGTTACCATAAACCTCAAAACTTCAATTCAGTTGGTAACACAAACCCAAATTGGAGCCAAGGTCAAGGGTTGCAACAACACCCATCTTAGAGTCAAGGGTGGCAAAACCAGAGACAAGGAGGAAATTAGGGAGGAAGTCCTTCTTACAGCACCTACAAGGGTAATATTAACACTCAAAACCAACCTCAAAGAAGAAGCCCCAACATACCACCGCCCACACAGCAAGTTGGAGGTTATCCTCTAGGGATGAACCACCGAGGGAGAGTTTTGAAGAGAAAATGATAAGAATGATGTCTGAAATCAAGCAAGATATGGGACACATGAGGCAAGAATGGAAGCAAGACATAAGGCATGAAGTTTCAGCTGTGAGACAAGAGGTCTCAAACTACAGGCAAGAGTCCAATTCCTCAATTCGCAATCTGGAAACTCAGCTAGCCCAAGTTACAAAATTATTGGCGGAGAGTACCCGGGGAGCACTTCCTAGTGCCACAGAAAATAATCCTCGGGAGAGAGTTCAAGTTATTACCTTGAGAAGTGACAAAGAACATCCAGATCCTATATCGCAGAAGGGTTCCACTTCAAAAAGCCCAATTGAGGATGCGAATCTAAAGGACCATGATGAGAATGGAACTGAACAGAACATCGGGACAATCCTGTCCACTAATCAAAATGCTAAGAAAGCCTTAGAAAAAGGCAAAGAAAAAATTGATGTTCCAGTCTACAGGCCACCATTCCCCTATCCAGGGAGGGTAAAGAAAGACGTGGATAAAATGCAATATGGTAAGTTTCTTTACCTTCTAAAACAATTGCATATTAACATGCCTTTTGTAGATGCTTTGGGACAAATGCCCCGATATGCCATGTTTTTAAAGGATTTCCTCACTAATAAGAAGAATTGGGAGAATCAACCATTGTGGTACTTGGTGAGGAATGTTCAGCGATCCTGCACAAGGACATACCTCAAAAGCTGAAAGATCCTGGGAGTTTTACAATTCCTTGCCAAATAGGTGAAACTGATTTTCTTAAGGCTTTAGCTGATTTAGGTGCAAGTATAAATCTCATGCCCTTTGATATTTTTAAGAAATTAGATTTGGGAACTCTTAAACCAACACGTATTTGTATTCAGTTAGCTGATCGTTCAATCAAACATCCCAAGGGGGTGATTGAAGACGTGTTGGTTAGAGTTGACAAATTTATTTTTCCTATGGATTTTGCCATATTAGACATGGATCCTGACATTGAGGTGCCACTAATCCTTGGTAAACCATTTTTTGCAACTGCAAGGGCACTCATTGATGTTGGAAGTGGGAAGCTAGTCATTCATGCTGGTGACGAGTGTGCTAGTTTTGACGTGTCTAAGTTGACTAAATACCCCTGCCTACTGATGATTCTTGTTATTTTGTGGATATCTTGCTTGAGCATATTGAGTCTATAGTGCCCGATTTAGTTTGTGATGTGAAAAATCAAATAAAATTTGATGTGTCAAGTTTGGGCATTAATTTTACTTGGTGTGAAATGGAAACTAAAGTTGCTGATGACACTTTTGTTGGTTGTGCTAAACGTATGCATCATGTTAATAGTTGTGCAAATAATGACTCTTTGAATTCATTTATGCTTGAACATGTTGATTCTAGTATGATTGATGATATTATCTCGTGTGATATTGATGTTATTTCTTCTTGCGCTGACATTTGTCAAGACTATTGTGACTTAATTGGTGAAGTTGAGGAGGAATCAGCTGGCTTGAAACGGGTTATTTTAGTGGTGGAAACTGAGAAAGAAAAACAAGAGGGAGTTATGACTGAGAGTAGTGAAAAAAGTGAGCTCAAAGCATTGCCTGAACATTAAGAGTATGTTTTTATGGGGAACAATTCTACACTCCCCGTTGTGATTTCATCTAAGATTGAGAGGAGTCAAAAAGCTAGGCTGGTTGGAGTGTTGAAAAAGAATAAGGGGGCTATTGGGTGGAAGCTCCAAGATTTAAAAGGGATTAGCCCTAATTTGTGTACTCATAAAATCCTCTTACAAGAAGAAGCCAAACCCGTAGCCCAACCCCAAAGAATATTGAACCCTAACATGAGTGAGGTTGTTAAAAATGAAGTGGTAAGACTCTTAGATGTGGGGATGATTTGTCCCATTTCTGATAGTGCGTGCGTGAGCCCCACCCACGTTGTACCCAAGAAAGGGGGAATCACTGTAGAAACCAGTGAGAAAAATGAGTTGATCCCTACTAGGAAGGTCACAGGTTGGCGGGTGTGTATTGATTACAGGAGGTTAAATGATGCCACCCAAAAAGACCATTTTCCTTTTCCATTCATTGACCAGATGGTCGAGAGGGTTAGCGGCCATGGTTTCTATTGTTTCCTGGAAGGGATGAGTGGATATTTCCAAATCCCCGTGGCCTTAGATGACCAAGAAAAAACCACGTTTACCTGCCCTTTTGGAACCTTCGCATACACGCGAATGCCATTTGGCTTGTGTAATGCACCTGCTACCTTTAAGAGGCGTATGATAGCCATCTTTGGGGACTACATAGGAGACTTCATGGTGGTCTTTATGGATGACTTTACCATTTGGCGGGAAACCTTTGAGCAGTGTCTTGAAAACTTATAGAAAGTGATGGTCAGGTGTCAAGAGTTAAACCTTGCGTTGAGTTGGGAAAAGTGTTATTATATGGTTGAGGAGGGAATAGTGTTGGGGCACAAAGTTTCGAAGAGGGGGATTGAAGTTGACAAAGCAAAAACATCTGTTATAGAAATCAAGCCCCAACCCCACTCTGTCTCTTGCTTGAGAAGTTTCATTGGTCATGCAGGGTTTTACAGACAGTTCATTAAGGATTTCTCTAAGATTGCCAGACCTTTGACCAAACTTCTAGTAAAGGATGCTGAGTTTGAGTTTGGAGAGGAGTGCTTAATTGCCTTTAGAACAATTAAGGCAAAGTTGGTAAGTGCCCCTGTTTTAGCTGGCCCGGATTGGGCATTGCCTTTTGAATTAATGTGTGATGCAAGTGGGTATTCAGTCGGTGTTGTCTTGGGGCAATGAAAGAACAAATACTTTCAAGCCATAGCTTTTGCTTCTAAAACCCTAGACAAAACTCAGCAAAATTATACCACCACTGAGAAAGAGTTACTAGCTGTTGCTTTTGCCCTTGATAAGTTTAGATCCTATCTTCTCTTGTCCAAAGTTGTAGTGTTCACAGACCATGCGGCTTTGAGATATCTGATGTCTAAAGCCGAGGTGAAACCTAGACCGATAAGGTGGCTCCTTCTCTTGCAAGAGTTTAACCTAGAGATACGGGATAAGAAAGGCTCATAAAATAGGGCCGCAGACCATCTTTCTAGAATTAAACGACCAGAGAGTGGGGATGTTAGTCCTAAGATAGATGAGTGCTTTCTGGATGAGAAATTGTTGGGTGTGGACGAAGTCCCTTGGTATGCCGATATAGCCAACCATCTTGTTGGTAAAGTCTTGCCTCCTCACCTAGAGGCATGAGTATGATATAGTAATGACAATGGGGAAAGTTGCAAAATAATTACTTAAATGGACAAACTCCAAAATCCTGAAGATTATACAGTTTGTGCCCTGAAGGCTTATGGTTAGTTGTACTTGATAAGTGCTAATTCTTAGTACTTTTATGTGCATAATTGATATCAAACTCATATGATTTCATGTTAATTGGAAGCTAAGTATGTGCCTATTTGATTCCTTTGTGTAATTTAGGTTATTTGGAGGCATTGGTTGTAACTTCATGTAAATTGGAGCTCAATTGGTTGTGTTTTGAAGTCATCTTGACAGAAAGGCAAGTTTCGGGAGTCATTACAGGACAAGAAAATGAAATAAAGGGAGTTGAAGTATCATGACATGACCCGAGGACCCAAAGGAACAAAGGAGATGAAGAAATATGTGTTTTTGAAGTGAAAAACATGGGTCTCGCTGGTGGTCACGCCGTGATTGCCAGCGTGACACCATTATGCTTTGTACTTTTTTTGTCAGGCGAAGTCTCGGTAATTTGAGCATATCTCGAGCTATGAGTGTCCAATTAACGTGATTCAAGTGGCATTAGAGATACTGTGCAGAGATGTTGGTCACGGTGGCGATCACGGTGTGATGTTGACCGTAACCAGCAGAGACCTGCAAGGCTTAGGCCTAGTCACGATGAAGGTCACGCCGCGACCTCCATCATGACCAGACATTCTGGAAGTAGTTAAAAGGACGCGATTCCAAAAGTATAAAGTATCTTTAGACATTATTTTCATCTATCTTTCAATTTCCAATCTCCCTCTACGCCTTCTCTCCACCCAAACCCTTTAGAACAAAAAATCCATTGTATTCCGTCATATTTTGGAGAAGATTTAGAGGGAGATTAACATATGTAATTGTAACTTTCACTTTCAGTTTCAGATTTACATTCTACAAGTTCTATCAAGTTAAGTTCACAATTTCTTACTTTTACATTTCACATAATTTGGAGTTTGAATTTATTGTTCAGTACTTTAATTTGTTTTAGTTTATCAATTTCATTATGAGTAGTTAAACTAGTTAGGGATTTAGATTGAATTGCTTTGTATGAATGTCAACATGAATTAAATTGGAAAACCTAGGGCTTGCAATATCTTTAGATTGAATTTCATTGTGAATTTGGTAAAATGTTTTGACTCTTGCTTAGTTAGGGCCCAATATGTAATGTTACAGATGAATGAATAAGATGATCCTCCTTCCCTATGCATTATCCGTGTATTATATTCCTTCTCTTTGTTCTTCCAATTTCTATGATTTCTTAACAATTTTTAATATATTAATTATTAAAAGAACATTATTTGTGTATTGAATGTACATTATACAAAATAATGTACTTTTAATACTGAAAATAATGTATTTTCTCTGAATACAAGGTACATTTTTAATATATTAAACGTACATTATTTGTGTACTAAATGTACATTATTTGTGTACTAAGTGTACATTATTTGATAATATACAAAATAATATACTTTCAGTACTCAAACAATATACTTTTAAATTAAATAATGTACTTTTTATTTATGTTCCATACAACTATTTGAACCATGATCCACACTATAATGATTGATATATATCCTCGCTCAAGAATTAATTTCCCCATTTAAGGAGTCGAAGTGGAGGCCCACATGTTTAATGCAATCAAATTATCCAAATCCTTAGCTTTCGGATAACATTGACACATATAAGTAATTTGAGCATATCTCTATCATATGTAGGGATGCCAATTGGTCTTATTAAATATTTACATTATATTTGTCTTATTTAATACTTTTCCATTTTTGCGGGTTAGGCGGGGGCGTGCTAAAAACCCGCCAAAATATGGGTCTAAAATATCAAAGCCCGCCTCACCCTTTTTGCGGGACGAGATGGGCTAACCCGGCGGGTTAAGCCCGTTTTGACAGCTCTAGTTAGCGATGGTGGATTGAAGCAACAAAGAGTTGAAAAGGAAGATTGAAGCAATAGAGATTAATGACATGACCTACTTTAAATAAGTTAATTGGGATAATAGATTAAGGAACATTTGGTTTAATTTATGTGTTCAAAATCTCATATTAGTCTTGTTTAATTTGGTTTGTAAAAGTGCGAGATCGTAAAATGTAATGTGAGATTTTTAAGAATGATTTTGTTATTAGTATTATATTATATTATTTTTCACATTCTTCAATATCACATTCTGATCCTTTCAATGACTACAAGTTCTTTAATTTAAGGTTTTTTATTATCCGGTGGTGCCTTTAATGTGTTTGACCTCTTTTAAATTGTGTGTGTGTATATATTTCATAATTGCAAAATTATCTTGTGTAGGCCTGTTATGAATGGTCCGTATGATCCTCGATAAAAGGCTCAAACAAGTAGTAGAAGTGGGTTCGAAACACAAAAGTTGTACAGATCAGAGTTAACGCTGAAAAAATTGAAGCAGTGGAGAGTTAGCGATGGTGGATCAAAGCAACGAAGAGTTGAAAAGGAAGATCAAAGCGGTAGAGAGCCGGCACTGGAGATCGAAGAAGTGTGAATCTGTGACGAAAGATTGAAGAAGTAGAGAATCAACGATGAGACGGCCGCACGGAAGGGGTGCATCATGAGACGGCAGCACGACCGCATTGGAGATTTAGCGATGGTGGATCAAAGCATCGAAGAGTTGAAAAGGAAGATCTACTTGAAGCAATAGAGAGCTGGCAATGGAAGGTCGAAGAAGAATAGGATTTGTATGTGATAAAAGATCGAAGAAGTAGAGAATCGGCAATGAGACAGCCGCACCATCGTCGCACGGGAGGGGTGCATCATGAGAGGACAGCACGATCCTCGCACAGGATGAGTCAGTTGGACTTGATCAAGATTCTATATCTATATATAAAAGAAATTCTAGAAGAGGAAAGAAAAACTTGTGTCTTTAAAATTCCCAACAAATTAAAT